CATGTACATAGAGGAGCTTTACTGCTTAAATAAATTGCTAAATGTGAGATAAGGCTACAACGAATTTGGTATTATTGCTTTTGAAGGATAAAGTGAGCTATTAAAACTACTTATAAATGTCTTTTCCATAGAGATGTAAATATACCAAAAAAACTATGATTTATTTGAAGAAAGCAGGACTGAGATTTGGAGGACCTGGATTCTAACTGTGTGGCTTAAACTCTTAGATGTATGACCCAAGGCAGTAAGATAGTAAATCTCTCTTTGTTTCAATTTGCTTTTCTGTAAAATGGGGACAGTAATATTGAAACTGCTAATTTCGTACATGAATTAACTCACCTAACTTAAGCAAATGTGTCCGATAGATAATAAAATGCTCGTTTAATGTAAATGCATGTATCACACCTATAGGGCAATAGCCTTGGAAACTTACAATGTGCCCTTTTGTTGAGGTCAAATAAAAGAATGTTTCCCCTTAGTGTTTCAAATGGTTCCTCAAGTCTTGGTAAGGAAAAAAGAAAAAAAACTTTCTTTACATTCAAGAAAAACTGTGAGTCATGAGGGTATTTTAGAAAATAAGAACAAATTGAGAGTAATTTTCAAAAATTTTGGTATAATTTTTGTACCAAGGAAAAAAATTGAGAGGTAAGTTATGAAATGTTTCTTTTTTCCTTTTGTGGGTGTCTCCCTTTTTGCTTTTGGTAGACTCATGGTTCCCCTCCCAACCAGAAAAAAAGTAAAGAAAAGAAAACAGAAAAGAAAATCAACAGTGGTTCTTTCACTTCCTAACTGTTCACCTTCCATATATCCATCTAGGGATTTCTAGCCTCTTTCTTGNACATTGAAGCCTTGGTAAAGTATACTAAAAGGTATCAAAAGCACCTAGTAAAAGCCCTATCAACCATTAAGTGCTCAATAATTGTTAGTTTCTGGGATTTGCTTAATTGTTTGTTTGTTTGTGTGTTTTGCTAATGATCTGTAAAATTTGCTAATTCTCTTGCACAGTTATCGGCAGATATAATCCTGCCTATTTATATACATCTTCACTTTNAGCCTTGGAAACTTACAATATGCCCTTTTGTTGAGGTCAAATAAAAGAATGTTTACCTTTGATGTTTCAAATGGTTCCTCAAGTTTTGGTAAGCAAAAAAGAAAAAAAAATTCTTTACATTCAAGATAAACTGTGAGCCATGAGGGTATTTTAGGAAATAAGAACAAATTAAGAGTAATTTTCAAAAATTTTGGCATAATTTTTGTACCAAGTAAAAAAATTGAGAGGTAAGTTATGAAAAGCTTTTTCTTTCCTTTTGTGGGTGTCTCCCTTTTTGTTTTTGGTAGACTCATGGTTCCCCTTCCAACCAGAAAAAAATGTAAAGAAAAAAAAAACAGAAAAGAAAATCAACAGTGGTTTTTTCACTTCCTAACTGTTCACCTTCTGTATATCCATCTAGGGATTTCTAGCCTCTTTCTTGCTTTACCACAGGCCAAGCAAAGATTACAAGCAAAGATAAACTTCTGAGATCAAGATGCTATGGAAAAGCCAATTTCACCCTAGTAAAATATGTATGAAAAATTTAATAAAGTAGCAATGAGACTCTGGAGAAAAGCGTACTCTAGGATCATCAAACTAGGAATTTATAGTTGTTCTCTCCATTGCATATCCAGAATCTATGCACACAAACATTGAAGCCTTGGTAAAGTATACTAAAAGTTATCAAAAGCACCTAGTAAAAGCCCTATCCACCATTAAGTGCTTAATAATTGTTGGTTTCTGGGATTTGCTTGTTTGCTTGTTTGTTTTTCCAATGATCTGTAAAATTTGTTAATTCTCTTGCACATTTTACCGCAGATATAATCCTGCCTATTTATATACATCTTCACTTTTCTGGCATTATGAACAGGCTACATTACTCTCATCTTCAACAAACTCCTCATGGCATTTTTCACCTCTGCGTTTCTAACTGTATAAATTATAGGATTTAATGCAGGGGTAAGGATTGCAAAGAACACAGTCACCAACTTGTCCACAGGGTAGGTGACCACAGGACGCATGTAGGTGAATATACAAGGCACAAAAAAGAGTACAACAACGGTAAAGTGGGAGCCACATGTGGATAGGGCTTTATGCTGTCCTTCAGAGCCATGAAATTTCAAGGAGCTGAGGATGACTATGTAGGAAATGAGTAGCATGGAAAAAATGAGCAAGCACATAGCTCCACTGTTGGCGGCCACTACCATTCCAAGCCTGTAGGTGTCGCTGCAGGCAAGTTTCAACAATGGGAAGAGATCACACATGAAGTGGTCAATGACATTGGGACCACAGAAGGGCAAGTTGACCATGAAAAGAATCTGTACCATGGCATGTAGGATGCCTCCAATCCAGGCTACCACCACCAGGAGGTGGCAGAGCCCCTGTCGCATGA